CCTGTTGTAACAACCAGCGCTTTCTCCTGTCTTCCAACAACACAGTTCAGCCAGGAAATGGGAGCATGCAACAGGGAGGAAGCTACGTGTGGGGAGGAACTACGGGGGGAAAAGGAAAAAAAAAGTTAGGGGCCTCTCCCTTGACCTCCCCTGCTGAACTCCCATCGTCGGGATACCCCGGCCGCTCGCCGCCTGGGGACATGGCTGCTTCTGTCCTGGAGGCCCTTGACCAGCTGCGGCAGCTTCCTCATCTGTTCTGATCTGCTCAGCTGTGAGTCAGGAACCAGAGTGACCCCATTTCCTGAACAACAGACATTGCTCTTTTCTTGGAAAAGGTGTGGGAGGAGAGTGCAAAGGTCCTTTCATTTTTTAATGGGTTCTCACGCAGGAAGGCCTGAATGCACTTTTCTTCTAACTCGAAAAGGCTCCCTCTTAGTGGCGGAGCAGTGGCATCCTTTTCTTTCGATCTAAGAATGCAAAGCTACATACATACAATATCTGCGCAGAAATCTTAGCCCGATTGAGTTCCACAGGACTTCCTCTCAGGTTATATTGATCTTCCTTCTAGCCAGTGTGTATGTGTGTATGGGGGGATTTCTTTGTTGTGGCCATTCAGGCATTTTTTTCCTCTTTTGGGGTGGATGAAAATGGAAGATAGAAGGCTGTGCTCTTCTTAGGAAGGACAGGGAGGGAAAGGGGAGTGGTGCAATGCTATATGTTAAGGAAGGGGGAGGGTGCAATGAGAGAGGGAGCAGGATAGAAGGGGACCAGAAAGAGGCGGTGTGGGAAAGATTGAGGGATTCCTTCGACACAGATCCTGCCAAAAGAACCTTGCGGGGTTCCGTGATAGGGTCCCGCAGTGGCTAGACAGGAGAGGCAGTGGATGTGGTTTGCCTGGATTTCAGCAGGGCCTTTGACAAAGTGCTGCACAATATCTTGGTCAAGAAATTATTGAGCTTTGGGATAAATCGATGCACTGTCTGATGGATTAGGGCAGTGGTGGCGAACCTGTGCCACGCGTGCCACACCAGGCACTCTGTCGGCATGCGGGCCAAGTCGCCCCAGCATCGCCCCAGCAGCCAAGCACCGGATAGCAGCACCCATAGGGGCCATGGGCATGCTCGGAAAGGAGTAGCGGTGCCAGACGATGGCATCATGACCCGTGACTCATTAGCCACAACTCGTCCGAGCTTTCGCATGGCTGGTCAGTGTGCTGCCAAGGAGATATGTGTGTGTGCTTGGACTAGCTGTGAGTTGTTTTTCTAAACTAAACCCTCAGTTTTCAGGTTTTGTTGCCGCGTTGGCACTTTACAATAAGTGGGTTTTGGGTTGCAGTTTGGGCACTTGGTCTCTAAAAGGTTCACCATCACTGGGTTAGGGTTAGGAAAACGAGGTGTCCTGGCTTGATTTTGATGGTTGGGATGTGTGTAGAATGGGTATAAATGATGAGCAGTGCACAAAAATCTCCTCAAGGAAGGCTTTTTGAAATTGCATTATTTTCGATGGAACTTTAGCCCTATATTAGGGTTAGGGGTGTGCACCAGAGTAGGGTTAGGGTTAGAAAAACGAGGTGTCCTGGCATGTTTTTGATGGTTGGGATGTGTTTAGAATGGGTAGAAATAATGAGCAGTGCTGGAAAAGCTACTTAATGAAGGCTTTTTCAAAATCACCCTCTTTTCAATGACACTTAAGCTCAATATTAGGGTTAGGCAGTGGTGGTGAACCTATGGTACGTGTTCCACAGTGGGCCAAGTCACCCCAGCAGCCGAGCATCGGATAACGACACACATAGGGGCCATGCGCATGCTCGGAAAGCATTTCATCACGGGCCACGACTCATTAGCCCTGCTTTGTCTGAGCTTTCGCCTGGCCGGTCAGTGCACTGCCAAGGATATTTGTATATTTTTTTGCTTGGACAGGCTGTGAGTTGTTTTTTCTAAACTAAAACCTCAGTTTTCAGGTTTTATTGCAGCGTTGGCACTTTACGATAAATAAGTGGGCTTTGGGTTGCAGTTTGGGCACTCGGTCTCTAAAAGGTTCGCCATCACTGGATTGGGGCCTGGTCGTCAGGCTGCAAGGCTGAGGGTGGCTGTCAGTGGGGAATCACCTGGATGGCAGCCGGTGACAAGCGGAGTCCCCCGGGCTCAGCTCTGGGTCCAGTTCTGTTCGACCTTCTTATCATTGCCTTGCAGGAGGGGGTAGCCGGCCTGCTGACTAAATTCAGGGATGAGATCTAAGTGGGGGCAGTGGCCACAACTGATGGGCAGGTGATCCAGAGCCAGAAGAAACTGGGCAGGCTGTGGAAGTGGGCGGGGGGCAACCGTAGGAGGGCCTTCAGTGCGGATGGGTGCAAGGTCTTGCACCTGGGACACAGGAAAAGGCGTCACTGGTAGAGGATGGGGGACAAGTGGCTGGAGAGCAGCACTTCTGAAAGGGACCTTGGGGTGCTGGTTGACAGCAGGCCGAACAGGAGCCAGCAGGAGGTTAAGAGGGCAAGTGCCACACTCAGCTTCCAGATATAGGGAGATGCTGATACTCCTCTACACGATTCTGGGACGCCCACAGCTGAAGCAATGCGGCCAGTGCTGGGCTCCACATTATGGGAGAGACATCTCTAGGTTGCAATCGGTTCCATGCGGGGTCACAAGAATGGTAGCCGGGCTGGGAGGGATGGCGTGTGAGGAGAGATGGAGGGTATTGGGCCTTTTCAGCCTGGAGAAGAGGAGACTCCGAGGGGGTCTTTTAGCGACTTCTAGGTATGTGAGGGGATGTCAGGTGGAGGAGGGCCATGGCCTGTTCTTCCCTGCCGTGGAGGGCAGGACACGTTCCCGTGGGGCAAAGCTCAAGGAACCAGGCTTCATGTTGGATGTCAGGAAGTCTTGCCTGGCAGTTAGGACCCCTAGGAGATGGACTGGGCTTCCATCCAGGAGGGTGTCCAAGGACAGGCTGGACATGCACATGAGTGGACCCAGGTGGAGCCTGGGGTCAGACTAGATGGCCTGGGAGTCCCCTTCTGACTCACTTTGCTTTCCTGTTTCTATGTTTTTGGGATGTTTCATGGATGTGGAAAGGGATGGCTTCTGAGTGCTCAAACCTAGCCTATCGAATGCAGTAATTGGGTTTATTAGAGGTATGCATTGTAGCGGAAAGCGAACCAGGATACCCCAGTCCCATGGCCACCTGGGCTGGAATCTTGACCAGTATCTTTGTGGTCCCATAGCCCTGGTTCAGACACCAGGTTCCACATATGCCAAACCCAAGCTTTGGGGGAAATAGCTTTATTAATAGGATAAAATATAGTGGCACTAAAAACACGGCTGAAAGGGATAAAAAGGGGAAAGGGAGAGAGGAGTAAGGGAAGGGGAATTTGGGAAGCAGCAACGGCAGGTTTGCAGCCAGCCGAGAATCTCCAGCTCCCAGGCTCCGTTGGCGCACTTGGAAGCAGAACATAACGAAAGTCATCCTAGCCTCAGCTGTGCACTCAAAATACGACACCTGCCCCAGGCACAGGCAGTGCAGGGTAGCAGCGTTGTTCAGCATGGGCAGTGGCAACAAAAGCAGAGCCGCTCCCCAAGCCTCTCCCCGCCCTGAGCGTCATAACCCCCAGGCCCAGGTCCGCAGGCCCCTGGTGCCGGCCAGTCCTCGCACCTCACTGCGACTCTCTCCGGGTTCCTTGGGCATAATTTCTGGTGTTTCCTGCTCAGAATAAGCAGAATCGTTCCTGGTCTCCTGCAAACTTGGGTACCAGCTTCCTGCTGCACTGGCACCTGGGATTTTCCCACATTCACCCTGCATGTCAGTTAACCCTTCCCTGCCTCCCAGGGTTACCAACTGGTTCATTTACATGCAGTGTGGAATGTGGGAATGGTCTTGGAAAGAGATGGGTTTTGGATGCCTGAAATCTGGTGGCTGTCCTGAGCAGCATTTTGGATGCAGTTCTGTGGCTCTGAAGATGATGGGGACGGGGCGGCCTTCCCTCTACGTCCCTTTTGCAGCGAGTTGCTTCGGTGTTCCAGAGTCCGCCCTTCTGCTTGGCTCTGAGGATGTTGCCCTTAGCTGCCCTCCACTCTTCTACCAAAAATGGCAAGAGCTTATAATTGCTAGTTAAACTTGCTAAAAACAATAACAAGCAAAATCTATTAAACACAAAATAAGTATCTGAAAATGACTGCTAGGCGCAGAAGGCATGCCCTTGCTGATTTACTGAGAACGTGCGCAATTGCTCGTGCCACGCGGCATTACTGGTTTAGTTATCATTAATGTTTATTGCTGTTACTACTTAGGTTTAAATACTCAATAACCGCTGCATATTTCCTTTGGTGTGAATGTAATTGCGTACATGTGAAAGACTTTGACATAAAGTTTCTGTCTTGAGTTGGACTCTTTCATTAACAAGCAAAGCTAAAATGGCTCAGTCGTGATCAAGCCTGTATTTTCCACTTGTCAGAATTGGTTTATAACTGGCTTAGGAAGGACTTCCTGCGCTTGCACGAGGGAGACCTCCTTTCAGAAGATGGGCATGTTTTGGCACAGGTCAAAAGAGTGGCAAGCGGGAAAAGGTAACCTCCAGGGCACGTGCTGTGCAGCCTCATGTGCTCCGGAGGAAGATGCTCCAGCAATTAAGCCCAATAATCCTAAACAACCTCGATCAGTACAAACGTTCGTTAAATTAAAAGGTGGTATCAAATTTTAATTTGTGTCTAAATTTCGACTTGATTTGTATGAGCTTTTACAGTGTGTAAGCAACTCAGACGGGCCTGTCACTCCAGATGTTTCTGTATGCGTGTGCTGTACAGTGTTTCAGGGAACGCCTGAATGGATGTTCAGCGCTATCCTGGTGTTTCTTGTGAATAATGTGAGCGGCACCCGCATTGCTGCTGCTTCTCTGAAACATGCACAGTCGTTGCAGAAGCTGAGGTCTCTTGCTGTGTTACTGCTAGTGAATGTTGGAAGGATTCTGACTGCTGCCATCCAGCTCCTTGCCGCATTCTGTAATGCTTCTGTTTTGCTTTGTTCCCTCCTGTCCAGGAAGGCGATGGAGGGGCTGTTGGCCCTTAGTGACGATGGCTGTTCTCCCATTTCCATCCAGCAGATGGCCTACGGTGTGTTTATGGGGCGGGGGGGGACTGATGGGACAGGCGTGGGAGGAGGAAGAATCCCCCCCCCCAGTTCCTTGAGGTTGAGAGACTCAGTCAGAGAGGATCTGTGTCTCTCACGCTCGCACACTGTGTGTGTCCAGGGATTCCAAGCCTGTGTAGCTTCTGGAGAGGAGAGGGAGGGAAAGGTGGCTTGTGGAGCAGGGCGCCTGTGCAAAGATGCTGCTGAGGGGCTCGGGTGACGGGTGTGGGCTTCCTTGGTTCAGACAAGCAGGGTATTTCAAGCTAGTCGGGCAGCTTGTGGCTGGCGGGGACTGGGCTGGCTGCTGCTGACCATGCTGGCGAGGGAGACCAGAAAGCAGGGCCAGCTGGGTGGTCTCACAGGCAGCGGACATCGAGCCACTTTGCCCATGGTCTGGTCCGGGGCCTCCCTCGCCCAAGTGCAGCCTCCACTGCGGAGCCACCAAGCGGAGCCTGGGGACAGTGTTCTTCCAGCCTGCTTCTGATGTTGTTGCTCCCCCTTCCTGCCCATGGGGGGCTTCCTGAAGCTTGCTTTGACTGAGTTCTTGCAGGGTGCTGCTAAGGCAGGTTGGAGGAAGCGCAGCCCCTGCAGAAGCCCCCAGGTCAGTCCCTGCTACCTCCGAGTAGCTGAGAAGGGCCCCTGCTAGCAACCCTGGGGAACCATGGCCGCCACTCAGCGCTACAGGCGAGGCTGGGTTCAGTGGCCAGGAGCCGACAACGGGAGGCAGGCTCTGTGCTCTGGGCCTTTGCTTTGGGAGCAAGAGTGCAGTGCAGTGCAGTGCAGTGCAGTGGCACAGGAGCATTCTGCACGCCGGAGCTCCCGGGCTGGACCCACAGCCTCACCCAAAGAGCCTCTTGGCCTCGTGGGCGCCCAGTCTGGGGCCGCGTGGACTGGCTCAGAGGCCGGGCCTGAGTGCTGTGCTCTGTCCCCAGTGGCTGGCCTAGGCTTCGGGCTCATGAGCGGGGCCTTCTCCATGATCAACCTGCTGGCAGACTCCCTTGGACCGGGCACGGTGGGCATCCACGGGGACTCCGAGCTCTACTTCCTGACTTCAGGTAAAGGCGCCCGTGGCCCCAGGCGCCACCCTGTCCCTGGCCCCCCGCCCGGTTCCCTCTAACCAGCCGTGTGTCCTGCAGCCTTTATGACGCTAGCCATGATCCTTCTGCACACCTTCTGGGGAATCATCTTCTTCCACGGCTGCGAGACCCGGCGGTGGTGGGAAGTCGGCGCGGTTGTGCTCGCTCACCTCGTCGTCTCTTGCCTCGTAAGTAGTGTCAGGCTGTGCGGCAGGGAGAGGCCAGCAGGGCAGGCACGCCTGCAGCTCTTCTCCAGTTACCTGACGGCCTCTGCCCATGTCAGCACACCTGGGACCAATGGCCGAAGCCCAGGTGAGGGTTCGTGGGGCGGTGGGGCGGGAGCGATGCCAGGAGGACTTGCTGTCCAGCCGGCCAGAACGGAGGGGGCGCCATGCAGCACGTGTGGCCCTCTTTTCGGCTGCAGAAGAAGCGGGCCCCCGCCTGGCGGGTGCTCAGCCTCTCCGAATGTCCCACACCGAACGAAGGTTAGAGTACAGTTCGTGCCTTGAGCAGACCTGCTTATGCTGCAGCTGCAAGAGAGATCGTATGAACATCGGAGGAGCCCTGCAGCCAGAGCAGACCCAGAAGTCGTAAGAGCAGCCCTGCTGGGTCCGACCAAGGGCCCATCCAGTCCAGCACTCTGTTCACGTGGGGGCCAACTGGCTGCCCGCAGGATCCCTCCAGCAGGAGGGGTGCAAGAGCTCCTCCTGCCCAGCCCCTCAGCGGCTGGTGCGTGCAGGCATGCCATATCTGGGGAAGCAGGTAGCCCATAGCCAGCAAGGCCAGGAGCCACCGATAGCTACTTGCTCATGAATCTGTCCAACCCCGTTTTAAACCCATCCGGATTGGCAGCCATCACCACTCCCCATAAGAGCGGATTCCATAGTTGAACCACACACCGTGCGAAGAAGTTCCATCGTCCGTCCGTCCATCTGCCCTAAGCCTCCTCCCAGGCGGCCCCGTGCTTCTGGTGTTGTGGGAGAGGCTTCGTTGTCTCCAGTCTCGTGACAGCAGCCTGCTTCCCGTAGTGGCCAGCAAGGTCTCCCTGGGCAGGCCCCAAACGGCACATGGGGGTATCAGCTCTCCCCTTCCTGTGGGGTTCCAAGTAGTCGGCGTTCTCAGCCACCCTGGGAATAGCGTGCGATCATTTAAAGGGAAGCTTCTTGTTCTTTGTATCAATTTGAACATCCTAAGCAATGAGGAAATTATTGTTAATCATGCAGAAGGAGTCATGCTCAGAATAACACCATTCCTCCTCTTAGCGGAGGAACAAGTTGGTCCAGCAGAAGCCCAGGAAAGTAAATAGAGCACGTCAGAAACGCAGCATGGTACCTTCAGGAGTTCTGGCAGAGGGCAAGTTAAACGACCTGCCAGAACGACGCAGCTGGTTACAAACCTGTCGGTGCAAAGTTGGGCAGCGGCTTTGCTGAGGTAGGCAGCCCTGCAGTCAGCGCTCAGCAAAGGGTTGGTGGCAGGAGCCGTTGCGAGCTGCGTGTCTGGAGCTGCCCGGGCCTGAAGGCTATCACGGCACGGCATAGAAACGAAAATTGCCTCCGTCCCTCTGTAAACGGAACAGCGGGCCTGACTGGGAGGGCTGCTTCTCCAGCCGAGGAGGGAAGCCCAGTAGGCACCCGCAGGATGGACACCTCGGGTACGAAATGGGGGAGGGAGGCGTGTCTGCACTTCCAGTTAGCGTGACTGTAGATTGTTCTTCAGCCAAACTACTCTCAAAGCAATTTCTGATACAATACATGCAACAGTAAAGTCAGTGCTGCCAGTACAATGCAGCAGAGCAAATCAGTCCTAATAGAGCCAGCAGAAAGGCTGCGTTTAAGACCGACAGGGTAAAAGCCCGAAGAACAGAAGAGCTTTTCTTTCTCCCCACTCTCCTGAGGATGGCTGAAGCAGCTGACCTGACGGTTGGGGTGGACGGAGCAGCCCAAGCGGGAGTGGGGGGGAGCTCCCTGGGCTGCTGTGGTGCCGGCAGAGCCCAGAAGTGGGGGGCCTCCCCCAGATGCCGCCGCTGCTGCTGCAAGCTGCGTGTCTGTCTGCCTGAAGCACTTGTGTGCCGCCTGTTGTGCGCAGCCAGCGTCTCTTGCTCTCCGCAGACCTTCTGGAATCCGTTTTACGTGGGCAGCCTCCTCCCCGCCTACCTGATCATGGCAGCGGCAGCAGTGTGGGCCTACCTGCTCTCCGGGGGCTCGAAGCAGAACCTGCGCCACTTCCTCTTATGTGAGTATGGTTCCAGACGCCTGCAGACCCTCGCCCGCCGGCCCCCCACTGCGCTTGGGCTGCTAAGTGGGGAGAGGCTGGCCGCCTGCCCTTCCGGGGAGGGCTCTTCCCACGCCATCGCTCCCCCCCGCCTGCTCTTCAGGGCCGCCGCAGCTCGGTCTGATGCGCCTCTTCTGCCCACAGGCCTGCGGAGTGGGGTGATGACACAGCCGGGATCCTGAGCCCTCTGCGCCCCGCAGCTGCCGTGCCTTCAGAAGCGATTCTCAGCCTCGCAGGGGCCAACATGTGGGGCCTGGGATCAAGGGGAGACGGGACTTGCACCCCCAACCGCTTTTGGGGACCACTGTGTTGAGGCTCTTGGGCGCCTGCCCCCAAACCACAGGAGGCCCTGCAGCCCTCCCGAATTCTGCTGGTGGCTGCCCCCCAGTCTTGGGGATCAGGAAGCGGGAGGGGGAGGGGAGGAGGTTTCTGGCAGGCGTGGGGCTGGGCCTCTGCTTGTTTCTGCTGTGCGCCCCTGGAGAGCCCCCTGGAAGGTGCGGGGCCTTGCCTGGCGCGCCAGAGGCGGGCTTCCCCCCACCGGCCCCTTGGCTTTATGGCTGGCAAAGCAGCTCTACACGCCGATACGAATAAAGGAAGCCTGGACAAGGGATGCCGTGTGAGCTTGTGCGCCTCCAGTGGGGCGCGTGGTGGCCGGAGGCAGCCCAGCAGGGTGCTCCCGGGGTGCGAGCTGCATGGGGCTGGGGCTGGGCTGGGGCGGCAGCCGCCCAGGAGAAGCCCCCCTTCCTTGGTGCCGCCGCTTCTGCAGCGGAGAGCCTCCGTCGTCTTGGGAGGGAGGTGCACTCCGGGTGGCTGCCTGCAGCTAGTCCGTGGTGGGGCCTCTGAGGGCTGTGCTGACGTGCCAGTGGGGAGAGGCCGTGGTGCTGCGTCGCCGCCCCCAGGAGAGCTCGGCGCAGCTGGGGCAGCCAAGGTCCTGGGGCCAGCTCAGGGGAAGGCTGCTCGGCGGCCACCAGGGCAGCCCGCAGGGGTGGTGGGGCAGAGGAGCTGCTGGGACCTGGCGCCGGGCGTGGGGCAGGGCTGGAGGCCCCTGCTATCCCGCTCGGTGGCTGGCTCTGCAGGCACTCAAGGTGCCTGAGCAGTGCATGTCACTTGTGCTACTCCCATTGGTTCCTGGGCATGTCAATCGCTACTGGAGGGAGGGCGTGGGGACTCGTGGCTCTGCTTTGAAGGAGGAGGGCTTGAACTGGCTGGTCTCTGGAGTCCTTCCGGCGTGCAGAGCGGGTGCGCCTGTGAGTGCGCAGCCTGGCCGTGCGCACGAACCAGGGCTGGCCCTCATCCGGGTGGCAGAGGGAGCTGCCTGCCTGTTCCCTCCAGTCCCATGCGGTGTTCGTAGCGAGCGTGGTCTGACAGGAAGAATTCCCGGCCATGCAGTACCTGAGCCCCTGGGGCTTCGGGGGAAGTAATAAAAGGCAAACAAGGGGGGGGGGGGAGGGAAGGAGAAGCACTTGGAATTTCATGATCCTAGAGCTGGAAAAGGCCAAACACCCTTGCTCAAGGGACAGATCCCTTTTCTAATATCTCTGGCTGGCAACTGACCAGTCTCGCTGGAAGACCTCTGGTGATGGAGAGCCCCCCCCCCCCCCCCGGCATGGACCCCCCACTGCCTGACTGCTCTGACTTGGGCTGTTTTTCTCGAGGCTGCCAGAATCGGCCTTCCTGGGGCTTGAGCCTGTCGGGTTACATCCTGCAGTCTTTGTGGACCGAGCACAGCCAGTGGTGCTTCGCTTGCTTGGGGGGCCCTGCCGTGTCCTCTGCACAAGGCTGAATGCACTCCTCCCCTCTTTCCTCACAGGGCTTGGTTGCTAGTCCCCCATTTGTCTTTGCTGCCCTAGCCTGAAGTCCTCCCAGTTTATCTGTATCCCCCGTAAAGTGCCAGGCGCACTCCCGGAGGTGAGGCCTGGTCAGCAGAGTGGGGTGGGACTCCCCACGCTTTGCCAGCTGGACTTCTCTTGATGCAGCCTTGAGTAGCCACTGTTGTTTTTGCAGCCACGTTGTGTTGCTGAGGGAGCCAGAGCTCCCGAGAAGCTTTGCCAAGCCAGGTATCCCCCAAACTATGCCTGTGCTTTTTATTTACTTTTCCCAAATGAAGAATTCTGCACGTCTGCCTGTTAAATTACATTCTGCCAATTTCTGCTCAGTGTTCTATCACCATCATTTTGAATTTTGTTTCTGTTTGCTAAGGTTTTAGCTGTCTTACTTTGTGCTGCATTCAAATTGGATAAGTGTCCCTCCCAGTGCAGCTTTGTTCGGTGAAGCTGCTCGAAGCCACATTGGGTTCTCTTTCCTCTTTCCTCTGTTGCTCTTTCAGCAGTTGACGCATTTACGTTGCAGTGTGTGGAATTTTGCAGGGCCCAAATTACTTGGTCTTCCACACAGAACTACCCCATGCCCTGCCTGCTGCTGCTGCTCTTGCTTTTCGCCACCCAAAGCACCCAAACCCAAGAACCATGAAGAAAGAAAATGCCTGCGTGAGAGCTTTTAAATGGCCCAGGAGGCCCCTTCTGACTTGCCCTGTTTCTGTGTTTCTAAATGGTGGCGCTGGAGGCCTCCTTCCATCAGATGGTGAACCAGTGGGGATGGTGGTCTAAGCCCCTAGTGCTTAAAACAAGGCAAGCTGAATTCCAGGAAGGGGCCGTGGTGTAGGACCTCTGATGTGCCACAATCTTGGGGGTGGCCCCAGGGGACAGACGAGAAGGGCCCCTGCCTTTCCGCCCAGCTGCAAGGCCTTCCCAGGCCATCAGGCTGGCAGTCTTGTGAGTCTGTGGCCCCTTGCTCGCTTCAGAAGGACTCCTTCCCTTTGCAGTGAGTCGTGGAAGAGAGACAGGCAAGGGTGGGGAATGGAGGGGCTCAGTTGGGGTGAAGCCTTCCCTCCAGGGCAACCCCTCCTCCGCCATGGTTTGTGCTCCGGAGCTCCTCTTCTACAGCTTACTGCAGGCAGAAGATCCCAGGCGGACTGCCTACGCGGAGGGCAGTGCTGCTCCAACCTACCCGCTCGTGCTCATGCCCTTCCTGGATCTGGAGCCATTCCATTTTGCCACTGCGCTCA